ATTCTCCCTCTACACCCAAGAGGTGGTGCTCCAGCAGGGAGGACATCTGTATACTGTGTTAATTTACAAGGGCTGCTATAACAAAGCACCACAAACTGGGTGGCTTAAACAATAGAAATCTATTGTCTCAGAGTTCTAGAGGTTATAGATCCAAGGTCAAGGTGTCGGTAGAGTTGGTCTCTTGTGAGGGCCATGAGGGAGAACTCTGTTCCTCGCCTCTCTCCTAGCCTCTGGTGTTTGCTGGCAATCTGTGGCAGTCCTTGGCTCGTAGAAGCATCACCTCCAGCTCTGTCCTCATCTTCCCATGGCGTGCTCCCTATGTGAGCGTCTCTGTGTTCCAATTTCCAGTTTTTATAAAGATACCAGTCGTATTAGATTAAGGGCCTGCTCTATACCAATAGGACTTCGCCTTAGCCAATTATTTCTGCTATTGTTCTATTTTCAAATAACATTACCTTCTGAGGCATTGGAGTTAGGATTTCAACATATGAATTTGCGAGAGGGACATATTCTACCCATAACGCATGCAAGCAACTAAACACAACATGGCCAATACTGTCACAGAGGCATATCTGAGGATCTATGAGGGCACATGACAGCACATGGCACTGAGTTTAAGGGGCATGAGGATAAGCATCAAAGAAAATGCAACAAGTGGCCAAAGCTTGGGCAGACAATGGGTGTTTTCCAGGTAGGAAAAGGTAAAAGCATGTCTGTCTGCGGGAGCTTAAAGCACTTGGGAACTGCAGAAAGTATTATTGGGTGAAGATGGGGCAGGGGTGAGAGGGAGCAGGAAGTGGGGGGAGGTTACAAAGGAGAGAGGAGATAGAAAACAGACCATGCAGAGCCCTGTCACAATAAGTGACCTAATCAGGAGACAAGGAGAGGCTATGGGTGGTTTTCAGGAGGAAAAGAATCCTGGTTGTATCTGCTTGCTGGAAAGCTCAGTGTCGGGCGCAGCACGGGCAGTGGACACATGAAATGGGGGCCAATATAGAAAGCAGCGCGCTCAGGCAGCCTATTTGCCCAGAGTCTAAGGAGAAATAGGAGAGGCTCTGGAGATAAAGAGGAAAAAAAAGCAGCAGAAATGGAAAAAGGGGGATGGACTTTCCAAGGGAATCTTGGACACAGGGACGATGATGGGCGCCTGCAAACAGAAGCGATAGGGAAGAACGTGTTGGTCGGTGGACGCGGACAGGGGATAAGCTGGGGAGGAAGCCAGGAGGTCAAGACAATGAAGAATCAGGAGAGGTAAGAAGGCGAAGGTCATTCGCTTGGCAAGAAGGAAAGAGCATTTAGCAGGCCGACCTTAAGGATAGCGCAGCCCATCTGACAGTGATTCCTGCTGGGAGGATGTTTCCGACTCTCCTACCCCAACTTCATCTCACACCAGTACCTGACGTTCCATGTGCCAGTTCTGTCCGCTGAACCTTTCAAGGGCAGAAAAAGGGCCAGGCGTGGGCTGCTCCGGCCCTGTGATCCTGCACTCTGGGAGGCGGAAGGCGCGCTTGGGGTTGCGTCCAGGGTCAGAGTTCGAAAACGCAGCCTGAGCCAAGAGCCGAGATCCTATCTCTCTACTATGAAATAGAAAGAAATTAATTGCGCCAACTTGACAATACACAAAAAAAAAAATTAGCTGCGGCATGAGGGCCGCACATGGCCTGTAGTCCCAAGTACTTTGGGAGGCTGGAGCGCGGCAGCGAGGATAGTGCTTTAGTCCAGGAGATTGAAGTTGCTGTGAGCTAGGCTGGATGGCCACGGCACCCACTCTAGCCTGGACAAACAAGAGTGAGACTCTGTCTCAGAAAAAAAAAAAAAAAAATTTGAAGTAGAACAGATAAAAAAGCTGGTGTTAAAAGTAGGGGAAAAGGTTACAGCAATAGAATCAAGGACACAAAGAAAGGAAGATATCTGTGGTAAGCCATGTGCAGGATGGTGTTTGTGTTTTAAGTCATGTGGTTTCCAAAGAGGAGTCCAAAAGTAAAAAATAATAATAAAATAAAGATAAATAAAGGGCGAAAAAATATATTGAAGTAATGCTCCCAAATAAGTTGGAACATATTGCTCGCCTAAACTGGGCCAAACAAGCACCCATCTACTAAAGGAGCATGACCTTATGGGTTGGGGAGAATTGAAGTCATGAGACATGTGACATCTTCATGTCCATGTCCCGTGGCAGTCCAGAACAATGCACAGCAGGGATTGGCCACAGATGGTTATTGCAGGATATAGCATCAATGACACAATGCCTGACTTGTACTTCGATCCACGTGGCCAGGCGCCGTAACCTGGACACATTCAGAAGTGGCCAAAAGTTTCTGTAGAAGATTGGACACCAGTTAAAAGTTAATTCCAGATTTACAAAAGGAGAAGGTTCAAGAACCCCTCAAAATTCCCACCACACCCAGGTGAGTGAGGGAGCTGGGAATAGTATCATCTTGGGGTTTTTCACTTGGACTGGGCACTCAGGCCACGGTGTTGTGCTCTTAAAGACGGTTCCTTTCTGCTATCTGCCTTTTCCATCCCTTTCTATATTTGTCCTACCCATGAACAGTCTGTCACCTAACCTAGTGTACTACAGCAACCAAGAGTAATCATAAGTGTAGTAAACACATATTTCACACTTATTTAGCATGAGCTAGAGAAGCAGTCCCCAACCTTTTTGGCACTAGGGACGGGTCTCACGGAAGACAATTTTTTTTGGGGGGGGGTCGGTGAGCGGGGCTCAGGTGGTGTCGCCTGTGATGGGGAGCAATGCAGCTTCCCTTCCTCGTCCACCACTCACCTCCTGCTGTGTGCCCCCCCCCCAAGTTACATGGAAGACGATTTTCCCATAGACTGGGGATAAGGAGGACCAGGGAGCTCTGCAGCCAGGCCTGGTCCTTAATAGGCTGCGGACTGGTACTCCAGGGCCCAGGGTTTGGGGACTGCAGAGCTAGAGGCTATTCTAAGCAATTTAACTAGAGTCATATGCCGCATAACACTGTTTCAGTCAATACAACGGTGGTCCCATAAGATTATAATAGTTTATTTTTACTGTACCTTTCCTATGCTTATATGTGCTTAGATACACAAATGCGTACCACTGTGTTTCAATTGCCTACAGTATCAGCACAGTAAGTAACATGCCGTACAGGTGTGTAGCCTGGGAACAACAGGCTACACCGTATAGCCTGGGTGTGTAGTAGGCTCAACCATCTAGGCTTGTGTGGGTACACTCTATGATGTTCGCACAGTGACAGTGTTGCTTAGGCACGCACATCTCAGATACGACCCATAACTGTGCTTTAATTCATTTAAGCCTCATCATAGCCCTCGGAGGTAGGTTCCATTACGGTAGCCTGGGTAGGGGATGGCAAGGGCGGCATGAAATCTTCCACTGAACCACACAGGGAAAAAAAAGGAATTCCGGTCTGAACCCACAGGTCCAAAGAATGCCTGGAGTTTCTTGACTCCTGCAAGGGAAGGGAGGCGGCTAATGAGCAGCACTAACATTCATGGAAAGCTTTGCTGCCTGGGCGGGCAGCTCATGGCAGGAGTTGCCTTTTCCTGAACGTTCGGCAGGGTGGGGACCCGTGTGCCGTACTATATATACTACCAGGTCGTGAATGGAGGAGGCAGGAGGTCGGGGCTCCCTCCCTCTTCCTCAAAAGGAAAGTCGGGTGTGGGGAGTGCAAATGACCTCACAGGATATCAGGAGAAGGGCTGACCGCTCTCCCCAGTGATTCATTTGGGTGGACGGCTTTCACACTCCAAAGTTCGGAGTGGGGTCAGCAGGGCCCCTCCCTCTTTCCGCGCAAGAAACATTTCCTCTTCTTAAAGCACAGGCAGAGTAGGGATCGAACTCCGTCCAAACAGGAAATCGCCAAGATTCTAGGTAACACTGGGGCCTCGTGTTTAAAGGCCGAGATCCTTCATTCGCCAAGTGGGTGTTTCCTGAGCACTCTACTATGTGCCAGGCACGTGCCATGTGGTTGTCATGGATCTAGTACGTGCCCTGCTCTCGATGGGGGGATACAAAGAGAGAAAAGATACCACCACCCCCCCACACACACACACACACACACACATCTGGCGGTGCTTACAGAAAAGAAGGCTTTTAGGGGGCTGTGGTGTCTTTTTTCTAAAAATAAACATGGAAATTAAAAGCTTCGGACCCCTCGCCTGAGTCCCCCAAAGTGTCTGGACCGAGACCTGAGCGGACCGTGGGAGGACTCGGGGCAGGGGGAGGTAGGCGCAGGCAGCGGTCGGGTGACAAGGTGGCCGGGCAGAGGCGCGGGGAGGGCCGGGGAGTTGGCCGTCGAGCTGCGCCAGAGGCAGTGGCCAGGTGGGGGGGGGGCGGAGGTGCGGCGCCGGGCCAGGCGGGGGGGGAGCCCCGCGTTACCTCTGCCTCCGGAGTCGGGCGCGCAGACAAGCCTCCCGGAGCCGCCCTGCTTCGCCAACTCCCCTCCGCCGCCCGTGCCAGCCGGCGGGGCACTGGGTCCCGCCGCCCGCAGAAGGAGCCGCGGAGCAGTCGCAGCAGCCGCCGCCGAGCGACAGCATCCTCGGGAGAGACGCCCGCGGCTCCGCAGCCGCCGCCTCCCCGCTCTCCACTCTCCTCCGCGCGCTCGTCCCGCCCGCGCCGCCGTCGCCGCGGGTGGCAGCCAGCATCGCGCGCCGGCCTGTCACCTGCCGCGGGCGCCGGGAGGGCGGGCGCGGGGAGAAAAGGCGAGAGGAGCGACACCCGGGAGGACACCATCTCCTGGGCTCCACTCGCGCGGCAGAGAAGCGACTACCGCTGACACCGCGAGCCCTGGCGCTCTGACACCGGTCCCCAAGTTCAGAGGCGACAGCCCTCAAAGGGGGTCCAGCCGCGCCGGTGAGCATTTCGGCCCACCAGCCGCGGGGCACTCCAGGAGCCTCCTCTGCCTGCGCCCCAGCGCCCTCCGGGTCCCGGAGACGGCCGCCCGCCCCGGACCCCGTTGGCCGCGCGGCGCCCCGCCGGCCGCGCCCGGCTGGCCATGCCCGGGCTGCGCCGGGACCGCCTGCTGACGCTGCTGCTGCTGGGCGCGCTGCTCTCCGCCGACCTCTACTTCCACCTCTGGCCGCAAGTGCAGCGCCAGCTGCGGCCCCGGGAGCGCCCACGCAGCTGCCCGTGCGCCGGCCGCGCCTCCTCCCCGGCCGGCCCCGGCCCCAGCCTCCGCCGCCCCCGGCGCGGCCGCGCACAACTTTTCCCGAGCCGGGCCCCGGGCTGAGCCGGCCGGCGGCGGCCGCAGCGGCTCGGGCTCCAAGCTGCAGGCCCTCTTCGCCCACCCGCTGTACAGTGTCCCGGAGGAGCCGCCTCTGCTCGGACCCGAAGACTCGCTGCTGGCCAGCCAGGAGGCGCTGCGGTACTACCGGAGGAAGGTGGCCCGCTGGAACAGGTGAGCACCCTGCTGGGGACCCTGGCGCGCGCCAGCGCCGGCCTCCCCGGGGCCCGCCCCCCGCGCCCCCTGCGTCCCCCGCGTCCCCTGTCTAGTGTCCCCCGCCGCCCCTGGCGCTGGGCTTAGAGTGCTCCCCACCCGGACCCCACCACTGTGGGGGCCTCAGAGTTCAGTCCCGCAGTGGGAGCTCAGTGCGAGAAAAAGTTTCATGCAGCGGCGCAGAGAAGAAACGCTCTGAGCCCCTCCCCTTGAACTCCTCCCGCGTTCGCCAGTTACTGAGCCCCACTCCGGTTCCCGGGTCCATTCCCACCCCCTTTCTCTTGGTCCTGATGTGGAAAGCCACTGCTGGACTCCGTCCCCAAACAGAGCAACTCCAGGGCTGGCTCGAATTCAGCACTTCACTTCTGCTTTTGGGGCAGACCTGAGCACCTTCCAGAAAGCATGCCTCTCCCCCAAACCCACCTCTTTCCCTCCTCTTTACTCCTCTGCCCACTGCCAGAGCACAAGGGGTGAACCTCGGCTCAGGTCTCTGACACAGCCAACCCCATTGTTCTTGTTTAAATCGTGCCTTGTCCCTCTCAGGCCAGTGTTATGACTCGAAGGCAGTTTTATTATCTTTTATTGTCGTGATGATTTGAACTGACTTGGGTGAGGCTCGATGCTTCTGCAGAGTAGATAAAAATCTGCCTGGGAATTTTTAAAACTCAAAGCAAAATGTAGAGGAGGAAAAACATCAAACCTATTTAGGATAAAATTAAGAAGGATATTTTTTTAAAAATTGGGGGAAGCAGAACTGCTGAGATCCCCAGCTAATGGCAGGAAGCCTTCAGGGGGGTGAGGGACTCTGTTTTGAAGTCCAGAACTGGTCTGAATATCACTCGCGTGCAGAGTTCACTTTTGCACCACACCCATCTCTTCTTAATACAAGAGATTTCAAAATGAGATGTCATCTGTGGTTTCATAGTCCCTCCGGAGGATGGGAAGACCATAAATCTCTGCTGAAACTCAGAGCTGGCCCAATGTAACTGCTCGTTATTCATTCTGTAGTGCTGAGACTGGGGGGGAGGAGGGGAGAGAAAAACTTCAGAAAATTTTTAAAAAGGAAGAAGTTGAGTTATTGGCTGAATCACTGTGATGCATTTCAACTGCAACTCTATGGCTGATGATTTTATATTAGAAAGAAAGTGGTTCTCAATTGCATTGCTAATTGTGTGCGATAATAAAAGGCAATTGGAGATTGCTTCTCAGACACTGTCATTTTCAATATTACCTTTATTTCGTCAGTACCACGGGCGTCTGGATCAGTGAACTGAGAAATTTTGCCCTTAGAAAAATTATCTACATGTTTACTGCAGATTTTAGAGCAAAGGATTGCGGTCAAAGTCACTTGCTTTTGTAAATGTTATCAGTGTTCGTTTAGTCACATTTCTGTAGCCTTAAACTGCCCTGTGTTACTCTGGTCCTAAAGGAATGTCTGGGGGGAATATTTTGGCAGAAAAACAAGATCCTTTCTCACCAAACTGTTTTACAGTCCATTTTAAGTTTGATTTCCACACCCTTATACGTCAAAACAAAAGTAAAAACAAAACACACATGCACACATTTTTACTGACCAGAGACAATCTTAGTCATTTAACAGGATCGATGGGGGCTGATGACCTTGCTATATTCCGAGGTCACAGAGTGGCTCTGTGTGGTTGGGTGAATGTGACAGTTTCCCACGCAAGGTTTGCGGGTCACACCAGGAGGGTCAACTGCACTTACAAATGGACCTCAAAGGCAGAGAACACCCTCCCTCCACCCAAACTGTATTGTAAATGTCAACGTGGCAATGTTAATAAGCAGATGTGTTGTTCCTTATGTCGGGGTTAAAAATGGAACACAGAAGACTCGTTAGCCAGTGTGAGTTTGAATCACGCTCAGAGTTCTATGGTGAGAGGAAGTGGCTCGTCACCTTAAGGGAGAGTGTGCCCTGACCAGTATGAGCACCCGGAAGTGCTGAGGAGGCACAAGTGCTTGCTGCTGTGGGCAGGACCAAGGAAGCCTCCAGATCCCAGTGCAGACTAATAATTAGAAGGACAGCAAAGGAAGTAACAGTGAATGACCTTGGTCATTGTTTTTCTCCTGCACAAACAATTGTAGCTGCAACCGTGCCAATATTTAAAATCTTGTGATATATAAACATATGCGGATGCCACCATGCCTATACCTAATATCAAGTGCTCTCCAAAATAATTGTATCAGCAAACCATCTGCCACACCAGTGGAGGTGCAGGTAATAAAATAAGCCAAATCGGCGTTCTTCACCACTTGCCCAGCAGAGACTGTTAATAGTCTGAGTGATTTTTTTAAAAATTGTTACCACCATACTAACAAGGAATGGCACGAAGTCGGAAAGCATCTTTGTGGTATTGAGTTCATTGCCAGTGAGAGGTAGGTAGGTGATGGCTTATCTCCTGCCCACCCCACCCCTCACATCCCTTTGTGATTTCCAGTACAAAGGGGAGCTTGTACATTGCTTTGAATGTTTTGGGTTCTCGATCAATATTTGTTCATTGGGTGTCAATATTCAGTTAGGTTAAAAATGGGAAGACACCTTGTGTGCCGGGTGGGCCGTCCGTGTGCTGTCTGACCCTGAGGTTCCCTGCAAACCTCCATCAGCCACTGTTCTTCTTCTCTTTTCCCCCACAAAATATAAGTAAGCCTGGCACAATCCAGGTTTAAAATGTAATCAGGGAGAGTGTTTCTGTCAGGTAGTCGACTGCTGATCACAGCCAGCGAGACAACGCCAGGCTCTATCAGGCATGATGACACATTTGGCACCTGTCTTGAATAGTGAAGAGGAAAAAGCACAGGGAACCAGGGAAATGGAGTCTTCATCACTTCAGCCCATAAACCAACAAGCCAGAGTCGCGTTGCTCTTCCGCCTTTTCTTTAATAAGGACTAGGACAGGCTTACCTGGAGCACAGGTGACAATTCGCATTGTTGCCGTCCTTGCATTCTTAGATGCGGAGCTTCGGTTTTCTTTCCTAGCCCACAAGCTGCCGGAGCCAGACAACGTCTGTCCTGTGACATGTTAAAACCGGTCAGCGTGGCCTGGCCTTTTGCCCACATATCTTTGGTCGGTTTCTCTGTAACCCTGTGGTCTTGCCAGGCAAGGTCAAACGGGGTCATCCCTCTTGTATGTACACACTCCAACAGCTACAGCACAAATATGAGTCTCTGCCTTTGTTTCTTCACGTCCTACATAGGACAATATAATCAGGAAGGTTATATTGTCCTGCAATTACAGATTCAGCATTTCTTAGGAGTGTGTAAGTGAATGTGTGTGTGTGTGTGTGTATCTAGATGTGTGTGTTTCCCATCGTTGGAAACTCCTGTCTTCGCCCCTCCTACCTCTGCTGTCGCTGGAGGAAAACCTAGCCCCAAGTCTCTCTTTGAAAATCACAGCAAAGACACTGGGCAGCTTTTCAAACATGACAGTTGGTCAAGGGGAGTAAATTGGCTGAAGTTTTTCCCAGAAAAGCTTTGAGAAAATTCAGAAGCTGAGGCAGATAGAGGAGAAGAGGGAGAAGGAGCCAGGAGAGATGAGAAGGAATTCAGCTGGAAATGAGAATTATCTAATCTAGGAGTTTGAGGAAAATAAGCTCCTTTCCCCCATGGCATCTGTGGAATGAACAATACAGTCTCACCCCCATCTTTTTTATCTCTCTCCTGCTTACTTTGTGCCTGCCCCAGACCATTTGGAACTGAGATCTCTTGTGAGTTTGGGAGTTCAACTCGCAGGGTGGATAAAAGTCCAGCTTCTTACTCATGGATGGGGCCATCTGCCTTCCTCCCAGCGTCAACAGGGCCTTGGCCCCTTGTCTGGTTTCTCCGCCAACAATGCCAGGCTAAGAAAGGAGCTGGCCTCCTTCTTTTGAAATGGACCTCAACCATGACCTGTGTGTGGTTAGCAGAGGGAGTGGGGACCCCAACTTCCATTTCCCATTTCTCCCTGGTAGAGCCTGGCTTGACTGGTTTTGGAAAAGATAATTATTTTAGTGGTTTCTGAATCCCTGAACTTGCAGCTTAGAGGAAACTTTTCCACCCTTCTCAGAATCAAAGGCTCCAAGCAGATGGTTTCTGAAAGGGCTAATCCAGAAAGCCATGTCCAGGTTTCTTCTAGTTCATTCCAAAGCCTGGTCCTCACTGCCATTGCCACAGCAAAGACCTAAGTCAGGGAAAGTATCCTTGCGGTTCATCCAAGGAGAACAGGCACTTCCTGCTTCCAAATAGATCAAAATGAACCCCCTAGCCAAGAACTGAAGGCTGTTTCATCGTTCCCAAATCTAACACATTTCTTTCACCCCAACCAAGTTCTCATCAACCCTGGGAGCCCAAACGGCTGATTTTTTTGCATGCAAATGCTTCTGCCTAAAACATGCTGGTTATGTGCCAGGCACTTTACATACACTTGTTAATTTAGGCCTTACAACTTCTGTAGAAGTAGGTGCAGATGGCAAGAGGAATTCCAAATGGCCTCCCGGTATTTCCAGTCCTGGTGCACACACACCTCTCCTAGTTATTCAACCAACTGCTAATGCTAGTGCCGCCGTAAAGGGGTTTTACAGACGTACTTAAAGACCCAGATCAGTTATCCTTAGGAAAGGGAGATTATCTGGTAAGCCTGACCTAATCACATGAGCCCCTTAAAGCAGAGAGTTTTCTTGGGCTTATCAAAGAAGGGGAAGTCAGAGACTCAAAGTAGGATAAAGATTTGATGAGCCACTCCTGCCTGGAGTTGGAGGAGCCATGTGGCCAGGGATAGGACCGAGCCTGAGGAGCTAAGATTGGTCCCAGCTGACAGCCAGCAAGGAAGCAGCGACCTCAGCCCTGCAGCCACAAGGAAATAAACTCTGCCACCAACAAGAACGAGCTTGGAAGCAGATTTTTTACTGCAGAGCCTCTAGGTGAGAATCCCGCCCAGACGAGACACCTTAACCCCAGCTTCCTAAGA